CTGGAAGCGGAATGTTTGATTGATGGATCGGAATGTCGTTACCTATGGCAAGGGTTGTACCCTTATAGTTTTCCGAGTCCGAATGCGTGGGCAAGCTTGTGAACATCAGGGTTAGGTTGTATTTTCAGCTCGGGTATTGTTGTTCGCATTGGTTGGCGGCAGGATGTCAGCGCTAGGGTGCGCAGGTGGATTGAGGTGGCATGAGCACCCTGAAATGCGAGAAAGGGCCCTATTCTCGGGAGATGGGAAAGCAAGGTGTCGGATTGCAGTTGGACTGCAATCAAGGAATGTATGTTCGGATCGTAAATCGGTAGTTTCCTATGGTTTATTAAAATTTAATGACATCAAATAGCGTTGAGTCCATCAATGCGTTATCAAAAGACAAATAGAAACGACCAATAAAAGTGTTGATTAACTTCTTTTGAGAAACAATGCAACAATGGTGGTGTCAACAACATAATGTTGGAGGTAATTATATGAATTATAGCACTTTAAAATTATTTTACAATAATTTATTGTGCATGACAATATGTTTGTATTTTTTTACAACTCAAAGTGAAAAATAAGTTACTAAGTATGTTGAGAAGGTTATTAAAAGGAGGATCAAAAAATACTCTAGCTTTCAAGTATACCAAATTGATTATAGCAGCTATGAAGTGACTTACCAAATGAAAAATGGTATAATCAACTTGGAATCTCGTTCATGTATACAAGGAAAATGACAATTATGTAGTATGCCTTGTTCTCATGTTATGATGGAATTCAAGGAACTGAGATATCAGCACTCCAATAAATGGGTGTCATCGTAGTTTACAACGGAAACATATCACGGAACATATAGAGAGGTTGTGTTGTGCTATGCCAATTCTAGCTAAACACGAACAAGCAAATGAAGTCATGATTATATTACCACCATTGACAGACAAACGACAAATTGTACATCTACAAAGCCATAATTGTATCACATCACAAGGTGAAGGTTTGATTCAGGAAAAAATGTAGTCATTAACACAAGCTGAATTTATGACTCTCGGTTTCAAAATTCAACAAAAGTTAAATCTTCAAGTAGGACTAAGTCAGGTGTTAAGAGTAAGGGTAAGTCTAAGTGGATGTCTAATGTTAAAAGTTTGTCAAAAAAAAAGTAGACAAAAGTATGATATTATTGATCTAAAATACCCTGAGTCATGTTTGTACCATATTTGAATATTCAAAAATTAAAAAAAAAAATGTTGTTAGGTCATACAAATTGGTTTTTACTACATCATCATAAGGAAATTGTCTCAAACATACTTAAACACCACAACTCAAATGTCGGGTAATCTGCAGTCTATATCCATAACCAACTCTCAGGCCACCACAAAGCAACACGTTCCTACGGAGTAGGCTGCAACATCTCATTGGGGGGAAGTTGTAGAAAACAATAAATAAAGCTTAATGGAATATTTTTCTATCATAACAAGTTATAGATTAAAAAGTAACTAAGATACATATATTAGTAACATCAAACACACGAGAACAATCATCAGCCAATAGACGCCTTAATCGAGGGTATGCAACTGCCCGAGGGATCACAAACGGTGTAAGGGTACCAACCATCCTACTATTGGGAAATATCTCCATGATCCAAGTCTATAAAATTAAGATATTAAATGACTGTCACATATATTAATGTTAAAATACCTTTTGCAAAAACAACTCTTATTAAAGAAAATGGACATACCTTAAATGCATAGAAAAATCCCTAAACAATATAAGAAGGTTAATTGTCGAGTCTTGAATGGATGGGTTCAGATGCCTCTTAATTTTTATCAAAGAGAGAAGACAACTATTTGTAAGTTAAATCCCGTATTACTCTTCCCCATGGTTACTTGTCTCAACAATTGCATTTTAGTAACTATAATTTAAAAGAATCATTTGATATACTAATAAAGATAATCTAAATAACTTGATGCATGTTAAACTTGTCCAAATTTGAGACTAGTGCAAGGTATTCATCTTGAATTGGCTATCGAGGGTATCTGCCACAAAATCTCTACTCTGACATATACTCGTTTTGGAATTTGGGTCTAGAATGGGGTTTCCGCACCATATGGTCATTTTTCAAAAAAAAAAAAAAAAAACATTGATTAGTATTTTAAAAAAAGCAAAAGAATGGTTAGATTATTTAATTATCCTTAAAATTATGTATGTGATTTTTCAAAATACCATGATTTTCAAAACAAACAGCTAAAATTTTACTTAAGTTCAAGCATCAAACGTTATTAGATTTATTTAATATCCCTTAATTTAGAGATTACAAATTTCGGCTATAATTCTATTACGACCAACTTAGGGCACATGACTGAATTTGTTTAAGATCTCTTTTTGAAAGTAACTACAGTGATGATTATTCAAAATTATTTTGTGCCGTTTTTTTAATCGTAAGTGATGTTTAAGTTTTAACCATGTGTTTTTGCGCCTTTTATTAACAGCAGGAAGTTAGCATGTTCGACTGTTTTTTTCATTATTTTTATTTTATTGACATGATACATTTTTTCTTGTCTTGGTGTTTTTTCTTCACACCTCTCCTCATCATCTTCTTTACGCATGTTATTATTCCTCTCCACTATTTTGGCCCCGCCATGTTTTTCTCTCGTGGCGACACATGTCCCTCTCCCCTCTCTTCCACTTCCTACCAAAAGTAGTTCGATAAGACTCGTTCAAATATTTGCAAAGTTGTTCGAATAATTGTAAATTGTTGATTATTAAAAGGTATTATGTTCCTTTTCTAATCGTAAGTGATGTTTAACCATGTGGTTTTGTCTCTTTTGTTTACTTACCATCAGCATGTTAGGGTGTTTTATGCCTTTACACCTTAGTTTATTTTATTGACATTATTCATTTTTTTTCTTATTTTCGTGTTTTTTCTTCACTCTTTAACCATGTTTTTATTACTCTCCGCTTATTTGGCCCCGCCATGTTTTTCTCTCTTGGTGACACATGTCCCTCTCGTTGCTTTCCCCTCTTCAACCTCTTGCCAAAAGTGGTTCACGAAAAGTGGTTCGATAAGATTTGGGCATAGTTGTTCAAAACTTCAAATAATTGCAAATTTATTTATCAATTTAGGTTAATTTAGACTGTTAGGTGAAAAGTTAGTTGTTACACTGTACATATTCTAAAAATAATTTTAAAATCCAAAATAAATGGAAAAATCAAAAAATTAGTTTTTTAAATATTATTTTCGAAACTTGAATTAACTAAAAAAAAAATTTTAAAAAATAAAAAAATGTGTCTCACGGTCTCACAAAATTAGGCCGTCTCACATGAACCTAACCCTATATATATATATAATATATATATATATATATATATATATATATATATATATATATATATATATATATATATATATATATATATATATATATATATATATATATATTAACAATACGTGACAACTTAATGAAATAGGTCTACTTGGATTGTGCATTGAGGTACTTTACTGAGTTATTTCACCATAATGATTTATGTATATATTTAAAATTGCACATATAAAACTATAAAAGTAAAAGCCCAAGGATAAAGGGAGTAAATCGTAAAACATACGTACATTATCATATAATTAAGGTTATTAGTCCCCTTTACGTTCAACAGTAAAAGCTAAGACGTGAAGACTATAAAAGAAGACTACTTTGAGAAGGCCGTTGGTGAAAATATACTTGTTTTGGTATTTTGGTACTATGAAGTACGATGGCACATTTAATATGCATACGTGACATTATGTCGCTTTCTTCCGAACCAACGTTGTTAAGATCGGGATCCTACGTATGATCGTTTTAAGGTTTGCAAGATCGGGAAGTTAAGATCACACAAAATAAAACATAATTTTAATTTATAATTTTGAAACATTAAAAATATCTCCAACATTCAGGTTTTCATTCAAAAGCTATAAAAACTTCAAAACATTAGTCACAACTCACAACACAAAATGATAAACAATAAAATGATGAAAGATAAAAGACAAAGTGATAAATTCATTTTTTTCAAAAAGAATAAAGTAAAATAAAATAAAATAAAAATAAGGGAAGATAAAATCGGATTGGATCCCGATCCTACGTACAATCCTACGATCCTACCTGCGATCCGGCTCATTTTTCATACCTAAGATTGTACGATCATACGATCAAAATCATTATTTTAACAACCTTGTCCCGAACAAAGTGAGCATCCATCCTGATGTTTTTTTTTATTTTCATCCGTTGATGTTGAATCAATATAAAGGGCATAAAAATAACGATATTGTTACAATACACTATAGTTGCTTCGTGAGAGGAGGCTTTAATTCCAACCAATGTTTTAAAAATCAGTTCAAACCGACCAGTCGAACCGGCTAGATCGAGAATCGGAGACAAGAATGGTTCAATAACACCCAATTCTATGTCAATTTCTATAGCAGATCGAACCGGTTGGTTTCTTAAAAACCCAAGTTGAAACAGTATAATAGAACCAGGAAAAAATCGTTTGAATCGGTTATTGTACTTGTATATTTGGACTTCACGTAGTCCGTTAAAAAAACAACTCACTAATATATTAATTAACATCCCAACCTTTTTCAAAATATATATATACATGTATATGTCACATTCCAATGATCAAAGTAACTTACTAATTAAGTATCTAGAAAGACCTGATACGTGTTTGAGAATATGTAATTAACACGCTTCCTTCGTTTTCAATGATAACGGTAAAAAACGAATTCCACCATAAACCCATTAAGGAGGAATATATATGTTCGACCTGTATGAAAAGGTGTAGGACGCAAATTGGATTCTCTCCAAACCATCCAAAAGCATCCTCGTTTTTAAATTAACCTTGCAACTCGTGACTATATTCTATATATTATTGTGTCAAGTTTTTGTACTATATAAGAAGACACTACATCGTTATCAATTCTTCATATCCATAAACATAGCGACATCCAGCAAACAATTTACACACACAATCTTTACACCCAACTAAGAATGGCAGGTAAGATGTACGTGTCTAAAGGCTACTCGACCAACACCTATATTCCAGACCTACATGTTGGTTATGATCATGGACCAAAAGTCCCTATGAACGACTACGTTCATTCCCCAAACATGTCGAGTAGTTCAAGCTCATCCAAATTCAACAATGGAGGAAGCTGGACCATAAACAGTAGCAATTTTTTAGAGGAAGCCTACTCAGGATTGGGTGCAACACATCGTCATCATCTTACAACTTTGACTGATAATATCAAAGAACCCTCGGGTTTTCAAGATTCTGTGAATCATTCTCCATTGTTGGACCTACATCAAAGAGAGGTTCTCGATGAACTTTCCACCCGTGCACAATTACTAGAGACAGAAAAGCGATATGGACGACCTACATTTGTTGCTAAACCTAATGACATATACAAGAAGCGCTATCGGTGGTTATGATTGGCCAAATATCTCGAAAAACGATTGTGTTTGGATCTTTTAGTACTAGGTCCTAAGTGACCTCTATGTTTTTAACTTTTTAATGTTGTATTTGAAGCTTTTCTAGGTCTGGTTTCAATCTTATGTTCTATGATTCATTTGTAGTTGTGGTTTCAATCTTATGTTCTATGATTCATGTACTAGGAAAGGTGTTTTATAATAGAGTAAATTACTGAAATCGTCCCTGTGGTTTGGTTAAAAATGCATATTTGGTACCTAACTTTTATTTTGCACTTGGATCGTCCCTGTAGTTTGATTTTGTTGCATTTTTCATCCCTGTGGTTTGGTCAAAATTGCATGTTTGGTCACTAACTTTATGTATGTAAGGGACGAAAAACGCAACAAAATCAAACCACAGGGACGATCCGAGTGCAAAAAAAAAGTTAAGGACCAAACGTGCAATTTTAACCAAATCATAAGGACAATTTCAGTAATTTTGAATACAAATTAAATTATGTATTATAGACAAATTGTGCCACTTATGTATGCATGGTTTGAAAATAATATTCTATCTACAAAAATATCCAACAATACAGGAAAATCTCATTTAATTTAGAAATTTTGAAAAGTACATAAATGTTTATTATGATGTTCAAGAACCAAAATAATAAGTAAAGTAATATTACATCCGTCTAGACCTACAAAACTTGACACGACACGACAATCCGATATGAACCCGACACGAAATTAGTAGGTTTGGGTAAGAGATTTCGATATGTTTATGTAAGCGGTTTGACACGACACGATAATTAAACGGGTGGAGTTATGATCAAAACTTTCAACTTAACTATGACCCGTTTAACTATATATAATTTTTTATAAATTTCATATTTTTTTTAAATATTTTTATTATTATAGACTTTTAGTGGTCCAAACTCAATAATTAAAAATATAATTCAAACTTTCAAAATGATTTAATTTTACTCATCTTCACTACCAATCTCATTTGATCCCCAAATCTAACTTTTTCCATTTTGTTTTCTAAACTTACTATGAATTTTTTTCATTCACCTCTCAACTCTATCATTTCACTTTTTCATTTTTTTTCCTCCTTGTCTCTTACTTTTCAATCTTTATGAATTTTTTTCATTCACCTCTCAACTCTATCATTTCACTTTTTCATTTTTTTTCCTCCTTGTCTCTTAGTTTTCAATCTTTAAAACGTTTCAACTCGATATGACGCAATATATTTATAATGTTTAAACCTTAACCCGAAACCCGACGTTAAAATAAATGGATTGACACAGCACGATAAATGAACGGGTCGGATTATGATCAAACCCTCGCAATACGTTTAATATCTTGACACGATAAAAACCCGACACAACACAACACGTTTGTCAGGCCTACTGTGTCTCATATTTATTGTCCACTTTTGATTTTGAAATCTTTATCCTTCAACTTTAATCTTAAATATTTTTATTTGTGTTATAAATTACTTGATGAAACTTATAACAATGAAAAAACATTTAAAACATAATCCATTCATGTATTTTGCATCAATTATTATATATATCAAAAACAAAAATATTTAAGGTTAAAATTAAAAAATAAATATTTTAAAAATCAAAATAAAATAAATACGAAACAACAAACGTATTGAGCATTATCAGGTCCCTGTCTAAATCCCACCAAAGGAATAAAATATATCCTGATTTGAAGTTGCCAAATCGATATCGTATATCAAATGACTCACCTTATACACTTTCAACTAGTGTGATTCATAGATTATAACGTTGTCCCTTTGTGTAAGGACACAACTAAATCCCACACTCAACGTGTCAACATAAACTACAAAATCGCCTATCGCTTCTAGAACAGTGAGGATACACACAATCTTCGATTCCATTATGAACAACTCTAGTAATCTTTAATTTTCGTAAATAGTTTATTCTAGTTGATGCTCCATTTAGGATTTCTAGCCAATATTGTTCTTCGATAGCTATAAATTTGTAAAAGTTTTTAACCAAAAGAACTGATTACAAAAACTGATTCTTGTTTCTAGTATAATTTTTCCTTCAGATCTTAATTTGTGGAAATTACAGGCGATTAGAGAGGATGGAAACGATCAAATCAACCAAAAGTGATTTCAAGAAATTTTATAAAATAAACATAATTATTATTTCAAGGATAAGTGGCGTTGTGATTAAATAAGTCATTAGTGATTTCATGATTTCAGCTTTTTGGTGTTAGATTTATTTAACATGGAATAGTGTCACACATGTGGGTGTAACTAGGCATATTCGTTGGATTCCAATGTAATACACATGTGCTTATGTGGCATTAAAACGATTCACAAGTTTCGCTTCACAACAAAATACATAAATTTAAAATAGATCAATTGGTTGGATGAAAATGATAAATAATAATTAAAGATCAAGTCATAAACAAAACCGAATAGTGTATTGATTGTCAACAAAGTAGAGGCAAAAGGGGGCTCGATTACATACTCAAGACACCTCAAAACCCTAATTCACATTTCACAGTGTATCCAAAATTACTCCAAAAAAGGTTAAAAGAATACCAACTCACATGCATTCTTGAATCTAACTCTTGGAAGCAGTTTTTTCTTTGGTTTTCTGAATCTTCAAAACCTTCTTCACAATCTTTTGTTCTTCCACCAAAAAAGCCCTAATGATCCTACAAACAAACACAACATTGCACTTGTTAACTAAAAGCAACACTCAAAAAATATATAATTTTATCAAATTAGTAAATAAATATTACCTTTCTCTAACAGCTCCTGCAGAAAGAACACCACCATAAGCACGATTAACAGTTCTTCTGTTTCTTGATAATCTTGATCTCTTGTATTCAGTAGGCCTTAAATGTGGAATCTGAATTCGTAAAATACACAATTTATAAACATTGAATGTATTGAAAGATAAGAGCTTTAGAAGAAAATGACTTATACCCATGATTCTAATATGGTTGATTTTGTTATATTTAATCTTGTTTAAGTAATTATGTTGAATTGCATACAAGAAAATGGTATGTTTGTAAGATAATGAGTCAGAAGTAGCTGGTGGTAAGATCACTTTCTCTTTAAAGAAAGAGAAATCATTGAGAATCCGTCTGAATTTTGTCATCATCCCCATTATCTTTTAACAAAATATACCATTAAAAGTTAAAACAATTAGCTTTGAAAGCTAATCCCGATTATCATTTGCATTTACAGAGATCTAAGAAAGTAATCGGCATCAAATACTCTCTTAGAAAAATCAAGACTCTTAATCGATACATCTTTTTGCACAAAACAATGAACATTCAATGGTCGAAAACAACAGCAATACGCAGATCTATAGCATGTATGAACAATTACGTTTGACTTTTGAAAACTAAATTTAAGTATTAAATGCGAGATGGAATGAACATACCCCTTGGATTCTTTTGCCAGTAACAGGGCATTTAGGTCCACTTGCCCTCTTCTTAGTGGTCTGATACACGAGCTTCCCGCCTATTCGACACATGAAACAAACAATTAGGCTTTCGTTCACAACAAATAACACACAGATCCAGAAATTGCAATGAAACGAAGCAAAATCAGGTCAAAAATGAAGAAAACATGATAAAACATTACCAGGGGTTTTCACAACCCTGTGCTGGTTTGATTTGGTGGCATAGCTATGGCGTCTCCGGTATGTGAGCCGTTGAACCATTTCGACCGGCGGCTATGTGCTAATTTGTTTTCACGAGAGAAAATTTAAGAGGGAGATAGAGATGAGTATATAAAGGATGCCCTAGGTCAAATACATATATGGGCTTGTAAGCCTGAATTCTAAATTGGGCTTCTTTTATTTTGATGACAGATATAGTATTTGATTTCCCTAATAAAATCAAATGCAATAATGCAAATAATTTTTTTGCTAAAACTAAATAGACAAAATTACATAAACAGTAGTCCTTATGGTTGACAAAATCAACTAATTCTAGTTATTATAACGAATTTTTTGCATAGATGATACTGGTTATTTCAAAATCTTGCAAAGACAATCGTTTTAGCTAACGGTACTAACTTTTTAAGTTAAGTTAATTTAAAATGATATATTTGTCATTTATGTCATAGGGACCATTTATGTAATTTTTTCCTGCCATATGAACTATTTGAACAAAACATCAAAATATGTAAGCGGAAAAAAAAAAGATATTCGAACAAGTCAAAAAAATATAAATCATAGAAATATAAATAAATTAAAGACAAAATTTCACAAATGGTCCTTTTGCTTTTCAATTTTTTTCCCTAAAATAGTATTTATGAAAAAAAAAATTGCATACATGGTCTTTTTGGAGCAAACTTTGCACGTAATTAGTCCTTATGTTGGATGTCTGTATATCTGTGTCATTATCATGCCCCATGTGCCTTGCACATGAAGGCATTTTCATCATTTCACGTAAGGTTCACACCTAATACTTATTTAATCGATCTTCTATTTTTCACATATGTATACGAATCTAAAAACCCTTGTGAACCAGACGAAACTTAAGAAATCAAAGGCGAGGAATGGCGATTTGCGCTTTGTGGAAGTAATGATCTTGGCATCCTCACTAATCCTTGAAGGCAACTTTGGTCTTGTGTTTTAAATGAGAGCAAGTGTGGTTAGATTAGGTGGTACGATGAACATAGGTGCCTTATATCAATGGAAAGTGATATTTGGGTTACTGAGGTATATGAACAAACTCCAACAATCCCTTCAAAAAGCCTACATGCAAGGCTATAACGTACAAGCTTTTGTCAGTTTTTTTTTTTTTTTTTTTTTTTTTTTGTAGTTCACTGCCTAAAGAAGGGTTGAGATGATTGTAGGGTTAATCTCTTTTGTTTTTAGAATGCATGAATGTAATGGTTGTCTTTTTGAGTATGTTACGGTGTCTTATATTGAGCATGTTGTCTTAGTAGTGTTGGTGTTATTGTGTTTAATGTAATTGGATCATCCTTGTAATGTGATGTATTAATGTAGAAAATT